TTATTCAAAGTGATACAAGCTACAAAAGTGAGATCTTGGAAGAGTGTTGCCATTTTCATAATGCAATAAAAATACTGTAATGATAAATAATAATTAATAATACATAGTGTGTAATAAACATGTCACAAAAACAAATTTTATATTTCCAAGATCACTGCTTTTATAATTTATACTCAGGTACAGGAGAAAATCCCTGGAAATATTCATTTTTAAGAGGGGGTTCAAGAGACTTGACATTTTAGTGAAAGGGGTTCACAGGTTGTTAAAGTTTGGGAACCACTACCTTAGATAGAACCCCTCTGTTTTAGTGATGTAGCCTTGTGTCAGAGAGGTGGTGTGAATGCATCTAGCCTGGAGACCATTAGATGAGGCCTGGGAAGTGCGAAGTACCGTAGCGAACTGGCCTCTGTGCGCGTGTACCTGCTAGTGCACTCAGGCGCTACTGGCCTGGGATTTTGGAGCTGGAGAATCTGGATTCTGGCTGGAGCAGCTGGTTGAAAATGCGGAGTGAAGTGTAATTATCCGCCCCCCCCCTTCCCTTCCCTTCCCTTCCCTTCCCTTCGGCGCCTCCGCGCTGCCGGGAGTCGCTGAACGCCGCGGCTGAGCCCCCGTGGGGCGCGTCGCGGCCCCGCTGCTGGGGAGAAGGGCAGGCGGGGGGACGGCGGCGAGCAGGGAAGAGGCCCTCGGCGCAGCCCGCTCAGGGTAGCGGCTGGAGAAGAGCAGGAGGCTGACGAGGGCTCAGGGGCTAGCGCGGGGCCCCGCCCCCAGGCTGGCGCGAGGCCCTTTCCCTCCTTGCTGATCGTGAGGCAGAAGGGACCCGGCGCTCTCACCTGGGGGCGGGGGGGAGTCATGCGTGCGGCGTAACGAGTCTGCGCGGCGTCCCTCCCACGCGCGGCTGGGCGAGTCCATTCACAGGGGAATCCGGAAGATTCCATGGCGAAGAAACTGGAACCTTCCAGTAGGTCGCGGCTCGCGTCCGCCCCTGCCCATCCCTTCCGCACCGGCGTCTGGGAATGCAAAGCCGGCTAGTCGACCCGACAGCCGCCCTCCTCGCGCTACGAAAGAGCAGCAGCGCTCAGGAGGGGCCCGCGCGGGAACTGTCGCTGCTGGTGGCCGTTGAGGTCGGTTCGCGAGCTAGCCGTCCTCGCCCCCATCGACCCTGCGCCGGCGGCCGGTCTGCTCCTGCCGCGGCCATGAGGCACCTGCCCTATTTCTGCCGTGGAGAGGTGGTGAGGGGCTTCGGCAGAGGCTCCAAGGAGCTGGGCATCCCCACCGGTGAGTGCGGGTGTTAGGGACTCGCTGCGAGCTGTGACCCCCCCACCTGCGGGGCATGGGGGCGCCGAGACCCCGCTTGGGGGAGGGGGACTAGCCCTGGCGTCAATGACCCGCCCATTCTGACGTCACAGATATTGCACTACGGGCTCGCCGGCCGGTGCGTGGCCGACCCTGCTCGTCCTTGGGGCCTCCAGCGCGGCCAGGGCTCTTCTGCCGCCGGCCCTGTGAGCAGCCGGAAGTGAATCGCTTCTCTCGGCGCGGGCGCCGGAAGGGGCTGGCCGGCGGGCGCTGCGTAGCCGTGGGAGCGAGGCCTCGGTGATGGCGCGGGAGCCAGGCAGTTCGCTTGAGGTCTGGGGGCTTCCCTGCGGAGTGGGTGGGCAAACCCAGGGCCAAGCAGGAGCCGTGCGGAAATGGCCTTACTTGAACATACCTCCCGCCCCCCATCTCGCTTTAGCAGCAGGCGAAGGTTGCGGTGTAGGTACCCGCAAACTGCCTAGTTTAGAGACCGCTTATGCTGTCAAAAAGTGCATTTAGCTTATACTGATACTCAGCGCTAAATAAGCTCTTTCAGCGGAAGAGTTTTTATACTGATATACCTGCGTCTATTCTAGGTCTGCTGGTATAGAAATGTTGCAAAAAAAATTCCACCCCTAACTGACATTGACTATCTTGTCAAAAGCTGTAGCGTTGACTTGGCCTGAATAACACAAGAATTCATTACAGCACCACTTCCGCTGAACCTAGGGTGACCAGATGTCCCGATTTTATAGGGACAGTCCTGATTTTGGGGTCTTTTTCTTATATAGGCTCCTATAACACCCCCCCCCCCCCACCACCACCCCCTGTCCCGATTTTTCACACTTGCTGTCTGGTCACCCTATCTGATCCGGTGCTGAACACTCTCCTTGTTTATGTTTAGAGTCCTTGTTTAGAGTGAATTAAGGCAGCCTGTTGTCTACAGCCTACCGTGGGGAAATCTCGTAACTATTTCCCACAGTTACTAACACTGATTAGCTCCACTTGTGTTAGGAACGTTGGGAGAGCTGGCATAGACATGCCACCAATTTTTAATCTCCATGTTGATTAAATGTGCCTTAAACAGAATTAGATATTATTACTTCCAAAGCTGATCACAAATAATGTCTGTGGATACTAAGCATCTTGAGTTGTGAATACTGGAGAAACTGAACCAGTCTTGGCAGCAGTGGAAAGTTCTGCAAAATTTCCTTTATGTAGGCAAGGTCAATCATGTTTTCTGTAATATGATGAAAAGGGATTATTAATGTTAGCAATTACACTGTTCTGAGTATCACTTCAACGGGGTCCTTTTTTAACTATTTTTTGGCAACAGGCTAGTTTCTTAGAGTTGATTAGGGTTTGCCATAGAAGATCTGAGATTCACTCAGGAGTATAGTTTTATTTATTTCCATGATCCCTACTACCATGCCAGCTTAATGCTATGATTAGGTACCAGCACAAATTGGTGACAGGTTTGCATCCAAAATGTCCCCTTTTAAAATGTCAAATAATTAGCAATTACTGGGTATATCTTGCTTTTTAAAAAGTATTGTCCTAGTTCCAGGATTTGTGGGATGGAGGGAAGGAGTTTTCTTTAGAGATTGGGATGAGTGCATGTGTGTAGGTAAGGAGGAGTTGCAAAATAGCTTGCTCAGAAAGCTGGGATGAAATCATGGCGCTATTTGATTTAAATGGAACTAGGATTTAATCCCTAGCTACCCCTCACTTTGACTCTGATACAGAGGATTCCTGGGGGCGGGAAAAGTTTCTTACCTAAACAAGGGTTCCCCATGTGTTCTAACCCCCCCCCCCCAAAAAAAAACCCACATACACTCAAATGTATAGTGAGGGATTAAAAATAGACGTATTCTGTGGAGCCCTGTTCTATTTCTTCAATTTGGGAGATGCTTTTCTGTTGTGGTTACCTCCCTTTTTTGTGATAAAGAAAAGTTAACTTCCCAGTAACAAGCTAATGGAATTAGCTTGTCAAGAAGAAAAAGTATAGTGTTGTGAAAGCAAAACTAGAATTGGAGAAACACATAGTAGTGTTGCATATCACTATATACAGGTAAAAGGAAGCTGAATCTCTTTAGTGTTGGAACAAAGCAGAGCGCTGGACAGTGCCTCTTCATTTGTAACACTTTGAGTTGGAGTTTTACAGTTAATCAGTGATAGCTTGTCTGATTTAGCCATGGTCTGCACTTAAAATTTAGATCAACCTAGCTATGTTGCTCAGGGGTGTGAAAAATTCACACCCTGAGTGCTGCAGTTAAGCTGACCTAACCCCGGGCATAGAATTCTTCCATCGACCTAGCTACAGCTGCTTGGAGTGATGGATTACCTACATCAGTGGAAAAACTCTTTCCATTGATGTAGGAAACATCTACAGTATACTCACATAGCTGCAGCTGTGCTGGTGTTGTGCCCATAGTGTAGACATGCCCTTAGTTTCTGGGTCTCTGTACCACTGCCGAGCTTTAGGGCTGGTAACATCTTTCCTGTATTGGGGAAAAAAGGTCGTTCTGTTTTGTAACATAAAACTAGGAAGTCCTTTAAGATAAACACCATAAACATTTTTATTTCATTTGGTGACATTTATTGGTCTTGAAAGAATGCTTTATGCATTCCTAAACTTACTAAAAGGCTATCACAGTGTTCAGCTGCTGCTCGTGTACAAACCAACAATACTTGCATGTTTTGAAAACATTACATTGATGTTTTGGTCTCTATCAGTAACTAAAAAATTTGCATCACAGAAATCAGTCAAGTTCATTTAGCCAAGAATAACAACTGTGTGCTTTACCGTATATCCATGTGGCTTCTAAAGCACAGACTTCAGGATGTAATGCTAAAAATATCAAAAGCAGTTTCACAGAAGCATTCTGGTAAATGTTTCAGCCTGTCTCTTTAAAATATTAAGCTGTACACTGAATATCCTGTCAGGTTAAAATCATTCAGTTTATTAATTTGTGCTGTTTACTTTGAACAAATGGAGTGAAATACACAATGGAAATAGAAATTCACCATGAACAAAAATTATTCTAACTAGTTTCATATTCTGGTTATCAGATTAGCAAGATACTGAAATTTGAGCAGCCTTTTGCATTTCAGTTACGTGTAGTGAGGATAGGCTTTTTTTCAAGCTTCCTAACAAAGCTGTCATATCTTAGGCCTTGTCTACACTACAGGGGAAATTCTATCTTAGTTATGCAACTTGAGTTATGTGAATAGCGTAACTCAAATTGACCTAGCTTAGATCTACTTATCGCGGGATCCACATTACGCAATGTCGACGGGAGACGCTCTCCCGTCGACTCCCCCTACTCTTCTCAATCCGGTGGAGTACAGGAGTTGACGGGAGAATGATCTGCGGTCGATTTAATCGACCACCTATGCATCAATAGCCACTCATCAATCCCCTGGTAAGTGTAGACAAGCCCTTAGTCTAGAACAGGGAGTAGGAATTGCGAGTTGCTGCAGAAAAGGAAACCTAAAGGGAGGAACCTGGAGGAGGGAGAATAACAAAGGAAGGAAAAGAAACAAAGGACAGAAGTAGGGTTGGCCTAAAGGGGAGTATATATTTTTCGCTAAGGCTTGGTCTTTAAGCAAAGTTGTACTGGTTTAACTGGACTGATTTAATTTAAACCAATCAACTTCTTTGTGTGGACGAGGCCTGAGTGATATTGATTGTGACAATAAAGTAAGGAATAAATACACTTGATCTTGATTTCTATCTAAATCTCCCACTGATATCAGGGAGTGTAGTGAAGGAAGTCTATGAAGTCCTGAATTCATATCCCAGACCAGGTAATAATAAAACATAAAATTTGAACTTCTTTAATGGCACGTCTACACTGCAGTTTTTCTGCATGTCGTCCTGTGTGGTATTGGCCCAAATCCTCTCTCATCTACACTCAAAGCCTTTAGACTTGTCTGGAGTTGGCTTACTCCACTGGGGTATGAGTCAGGCCGCACATTAACCTGTGACTTGTGAAGGTAGCAAAGGCACGGGTACCTGACTTTGAGTCTAAGTCGTCCTCCCCTACCATTCTCACAATTCTCTATAGCTGTATATTCTGGCCCTTCTACTTACTTACTTCCTACTACTTTCCCTCTATGCATGAGAAGCTACTGGCAGTTCACATTGCTGCACTATAGTATTAATCCTCATTTTACACATGGCCTGCTCCAGTTTTTGCAAAGCCCAGGCTAGCTCTGCCAACAGCATAGAAGATGGCCTACCTCCAGCATGTCACTAGCTGGCCCGAGGAGCACACTGAGGTTCTAGTTAACTTCTGGTGTGAGTACACTCAGGACCATCATTTTAGCAAGAGCTCCAGAAATATCCACCGTTAAGATTATGTGGAAGAGTCTGGCAAAAGTGAGTGTCTGCCACACTGGTGTGCAGTGTAGGGAGCATATCAGGCACCGGAAGCAGCTGTATTTGCGAGGGCAAAGATGGAAATGGCAGGTAGGCAATGTGCCCTCTGCATCTAAATACTCCTTCTGTGAGGAGTTGGACTAGGCACTTGCCACTGAAGAGCCCACTCTCTCCTATGACATCCTTCTGAATCCAGATGGTCTTCTTATCAGACTGGAGGAAGGGAGGCAGGGACGGCAGCGAATGGGGCCATGATGGATACCAGGAACAGACCACAAAACTGAAAACCCCAGTTCAGCTCACTCAGCCAGATTGGCTGGTGAAGATCCTGGGTCCATTGTCCAAGGACTTATTTGGGGATGGACCTGGGGAACAGCCTGAAGGAGATGTGCAGGGCCAGGTTTGAATCTGCAATATTGTAAGTGCTGCCTGCCATATTTGTTGTCACAGGGGAGAATTTTTGTTCTAAGAGGGAAGGATTTCTGGGTTATGACCAATAAAACTATCACTGTGGAGGATGGTGTATGTAATGGGGTGTGCTTAGCTTTGGCTGAGGGCTGAAACCAAGATATCTTCTAGACAGTTTCCTCTTCCTCCACCCCTTACTTCCCACCCATATGCGATCCAAGAGGGATGTCAAGCAGTGGGGAACAAATTAAAACACATTGCTAATGGCTCTTTCAAACTACCTTTGCAAATATTCCTTTCAAAATATTTAAAAGTTTATTCTCATGCTTGGTAGGCCTGTATACTTAGCAAACACTGCTCTTTAGGAACTCAATTACACTGATATGATATAGACTTATACCTTGACTAGCAAAGAACTGTTCCAGGCAGCATGTTCATAAGTCACTGCTAGACCTCATTGCCGCTGATTGTTCTGCCTGTTATTAGGACACTGTTGGGGCAGGGGAAGGGGGGGATTCCACTGTGCTGCTAGCAAGCCTCATCATACCAGCCCAGGGTCCTGGTAATTTTCCTTCACTCCTAAATGGGATGCTTATGTTTTTTGCCCACCTTGATCCAGCCCCAGTGGTAGGTGCACTTTCTGGTTGCCTGTACTGGGCCTGCAGACCAGCAGTGTCTTGATACCACTCCATGCAAAAATACTTTTTTTAGCTTTGCAGATGTGTGGGTCACAATCATACGGATGGTATTGGCCGCATTGGCATCCAAATGATTTTGTAGGCAGCGCCATCTTGCCTTCTGTCTGCCAGATGTGCACTCCACTCCACTACCCTGCAACTGCTAAGAATGTAATTTAATTCTCTTACCATTCTTTCTTAAGTCAGGGTGTGTTGTCATAAGCATTGGCAGGAATAGGTTGGTGGGGTCCTCCAAAATGACAGTGGGCACCGACACTCCGTTGATAACAATGTAATTAGGAGAGCGTAAGGTCCCTGCTTCTCCCAACAGGTAAATGCTAGGTCTCCTAAGCACCCTGGGGTTATGCATCTTTCCATACTTCCCATGTTGGTTTTCATGGACCTCTCTCTGTGATTAGTGAAGGCCTGCAAAACTAGGGAGAAGTACTCTTTGCAGATGACATTTTTTCTTACTTTTTCTGGCAAGCAAAGTATGGGCACAGATTTGCCATCAATGGCTGCAGTTTGGGAACAACATTCTCTGAAAGCACGCTATTTATTTCAGGCACATTTCTAATGTCCACTGCTCATTGGTAAATTACAATGTTAATTAATGCTCAAATCTCTGCCACTACAAACCTGACAGGTTTCAGCCAACACTGAACTGCTTTGCAATGACCTTTAGCAGTGTGGGGTAGAAAGCTTCCCAAGGACTATTGCAACCTGCTTCTGTTGGTAAGGACTCCCTCAATTGAGTGATCTGGTGCTGGAGGGTTGGGACAACCTTCTCAGAAGGTCTGCTTCCTCATGCAGAAATTCTGGAGCCTCTGCAGGTCATCCCAGGTCTCCAAGGCAATGTGATCCCATCACACTGTGCTAGTTCTCTTGCACCAGAAGTGCTGGTCTACACATGGGGAATCTTCAGTAATTGCAGCATTCATCATGTCTATTCACTCTGTGATGAATGAATTGGCTTCAAAGTCCTGCCACATTCTGCATCTCAGAAAGTGCTTCCAAAAGGCCATCCAGCAACTCACCGAATGTCCACTCCACTGCATAAATCACTCTCCTGCAAACAGGAGCAGCTCATCTAATGAATCCATGGCTTGTCCCCTGGTTATAGTGGACAGAGGTGAGGCGTGTGTAGAGGAGGAAGTGCCTCAGCTAAACGTGGCAGGCTAAAATACTTCTGCACAAGAGTCTGGGAAGGCTAGATGACTTCTCCCACCATATACCACAAACCAGTTCCTAGAGTGGTTCCACTTGGTGAGGTGCTAAGAACCCTGGGATATGCCCCTGTCAAGGCTGTATCCCCACTTTGAACTTTAGGGTACAAATGTAGGGGCCTGCATGAAAACTTCTAAGCTTAACTACCAGCTTAGCTCTGGTCCCGCTGCCACCATTCCCACTGGATTCCCTCCCTGGGAAGCCTTGAGAAACCTCTCACCAATTCCCTGGTGAATACAGATCCAAACTCCTTGGATCTTAAGGAGAAATTGACCCTTCCCCCCTCCTTCCTTTCACCAACTCCTGGTGAATATAGATCCAAACCCCCTTGGATCTTAAAGCAAGGAGAAAATCAATCAGGTTCTTAAAAAGAAGGCTTTTAATTAAAGAAAAAGGTAAAAATCATCTCTGTAAAATCAGTATGGAAAATAACTTTACAGGGTAATCAAACTTAAAGAGCTCAGAGGAGCCCCCTCAGTCTTAGGTTCAAAGTACAGCAAACAAAAATAAACACTCTGGTAAAAGGTACATTTACAAGTTGAGAAAACAAAGTAAAACTAAGACGCCTTGCCTAGCTTTTTTACTTACAAGTTTGAAATATGAGAGACTTGTTTAGAAAGATGGGGAGAACCTGGATTGATATCTGGTCCCTCTCAGTCCCAAGAGCGAACAACCCCTTAAAACAAAGAGCACACACAAAAGCCTTCCCCCCTCCCCCCAAGATTTGAAAGTATCTTGTCCCCTTATTGGTCCTTTGGGTCAGGTGTCAGCCAGGTTACCCGAGCTTCTTAACCCTTTACAGGTAAAAGGATTTGGAGTCTCTGTACACAGGAGAGCTGTTACCCTTCCCTTTATAGTTATGACAGCCCCCAGAAAGCCTAGCACCAAACAGAGGTCACTGCTTTACCAGTGTGGAAGTGGTGTATACTGGGTATGGCTTATGTGAAACTGTGCGATGAGGACTCTGAGGCAGGCTTGAGTAATGCACCACTGCACACTGTAATACACTCAACCTAAATGAGTGTTGATGCCTCTTTATTAAGAGATCTTCAGAGATGGAAGAGATGGAGAGAATGGGATTGTTTGTAGAGGTCAGAGAGCATTCCTTTAAAGTAGCTTGGGTGATTTGTTTTATAAGTGCAGCCTTAATGCTGTTTCTTGGTCTTCTAACATCTGAGTTTTTTTTAACTAACCATTTTGAAAGGCAGTATACACTCAAACCATTGATAGGTACCTGTGGTCTTAATTTCACTTTAATGATTATTTTGTGTGTGTGACTTTCAACACAGCGGTACCCTGACCTCATTACAGTTGGCTTCTCTTTGTAGTGCAAATGGGACTATGGCCACATTCCCTGATTGTGCTAAAGCATTGAATTCACCCTGGTTGGTTAATGTATATACAAGGTCATTTCTACACAATAACTTGGAACTATGTTTTCCATAGATCTGCTAACTCTGTGGTATCTTGGATATCTTACAAAGCCAGTGTGCTAATTGGCTATGAAGCTGTTTTTTCCTATTGCTTATACTTGTATTAAGTGGAGCATTGTGTCATTAATATCAAATGATATGAGTAGAGTTTTTTTAAATACATTTTAAGCTGTTTACTGTACTATGGAGCACTTAATTTATATAATGTACACTTTTTTTGCAGCTAACTTTTCTGAGCAAGTCGTCGAAAGCTTTCCATCTGATATCTCCACTGGTATATACTATGGGTGGGCCTGTGTTGGAAATGGAGATGTGCATAAAATGGTTTTGAGCATAGGCTGGAACCCATACTACAAGAATGTAAAGAAATCAGTGGTAAGAATTCTGCTTTATGTGGTATTTTGGTTATAATAAACGAACTAGACTACTGGCTTGAGTAAGAGGAGCGGAAGTTGCTCCATAAACTGAATGAATGGGATTTAGATATTGCATTTCTAGTCATAAAATTGGCACTTGTCTTATTTACATACTGAGAGGAGAGTCTCTTAGTAGACAGAGTCCATGCAGCCATAGAAGAATAAGACATGTTCCCATTTACCTCTTGCATCATCAATTAAATTAGCTAAATTCTGATGCTGATTACAGGCCTCTTGTCATGCTGCCAGTTAAAATAAACGTAAGCTTAAATAGTAAATTGAGTGCATTTGATTATAAAAGACATGGAAATAGGATAAATGAGTAAGAACCTAATGACATCTGTTATTTTTCAGAGTATAACTGCACTTCAAAATAAAAGAAAAATTAGTATGGCTTAATAGATTTCTTTACATAATTTGTATTGTTCTTCCATTATGTTCTCTGATCAGTAATGGAATCCACATATCATATTATGGCCTCTTATGCAGAATCAGTATAATAAACTAAAAATGAATTCAAATATTATCAAGAACAAAGTCTCATGCCCTCTAATTATACCATCATCTGTGTAGGATTTTTTTCTCTTGGGTCCTGGCTCCTTAGCCTGAACCAGCAAAAATAGTTAGATTTTCGGCATTCTGAAATCACAGGCAGTTAGGCATGAGCCCCTGCCCCAAGTTTTATTCCAGCTGCTACTCTTTCATCTCTCTTTAGAATCTTCATTCAGTTCCCAAATGTGTAAGAAGCAAAAGCATCCCTAAAATCTGCTTCTCAAATAATACACGATTTCTTCAGAATTCAAGAAACCATTTCAAAGATGGAAATAATCTAAAGCTAGATGGCAGTTTACTACATTAGAATCCTGAAACCTGATATGAAATGGGTGAGTAGTAGGAATCCTGACAATGATGGTAAAAAATCAAAATCATAAGTAGTTTTCCTATTCGTAAAAATTTCATAAATGTAGGATTCTTGCTCTTGAAGAGCAAAACACCTTAAGAAATTTCTCACACTAACCAGTTAAAAAATAAATAAATTAAAAACCTTCAAGCAGCAGTAAGAACAGTGATATTTTAAAAGCTTTTGCAGGTAAAACAGTAGAGCTCTATAGTACACTTGCAGGAGTATGTGGCGTGTAGGAATAACTTGAAATAAAACCATATTTGATAAGCAAAGACAAATATAATTGTTGAATCTGTTGTTAGTACACCTAGCTTCACATGCTAAAACACTTTAGCTGCTGCAGTTTGTGAAATTTCAAGCTCTTACCCATAATATTCTTCTAAATTAACTTCAGTAGGAATGGAAATTTGTGCAGAATGTCTGTGACCCAGTAATTTCAGTTTTGTCTTTTCTGATTAGCATGTACATGAAGGTACTCGAGGAGCTTATGGGTCATTTGTATCTGGCATGTCTTATGATGACGCTTAGCTATACATTTCCTTTAATTAGATTTGGGCAATGGATTTAGAGTGTGTAGATTAAATGCCGATTAGTGACATAACTAAATGAGGATTTTGCTTGAGAAATGAAGTGCTTTGTTCAAATTGTCATGCTTGTTAGCTATTTCCGCTAGCTCCTCATTTAATTGCATGTGCTTCTTTGATTCAAGAAACATTAAATTCAGTCATAAATACTAACAATATCATGAGGTACTCTATGCATTTAAGATTTCAGAGTGTTAGCCCTTTTAGTCTGTATCAGCAAAAACAACGAGGAGTCCTTGTGGCACCTTAGAGACCAATAAATTTAGTTGGGCATAAGCTTTCGTGGGCTAAAACCCCCTCCTCTGCCATGTACATTGGCCAAACTGGACAGTCTCTACGCAAAAGAATAAATGGACACAAATCAGACATCAAGAATTAGAACATTCAAAAACCAGTAGGAGAACACTTCAATCTCCTTGGACACTCAATAACAGACTTAAAAGTGGCAATTCTTCAACAAAAAAACTTCAAAAACAGTTTCCAACGAGAAACTGCAGAACTAGAATTAATTTGCACCTGGACACCATCAAATTAGGCCTGAATAAAGACTGGGAGTGGATGGGTTACTACAAAAAGTAATTTCCCTCTGCTGATACTCACACATTCTTGTCAACTGTTTGAAATTGGCCACCTTGATTGCATTGGCCTCATTAGCACCACAAAAGTGATTTTTTCCCCTCCCTTGATATTCACCCCTTCTTGTCAACTGTTGAGAATAGGCCACTTTCACCTTAATTGAATTGGCTTGTTAGCACTGCGCCCCCCCCCCCCAACTTGGTAAGGCAACTCCCATCTTTTCATGTGCTGTGTATATATACCTGCCTACTGTATTTTCCACTCCATGCATCTGATGAAGTGGGTTTTAGCCCATGAAAGCTTATGCCCAAATAAATTTGTTAGTCTCTAAGGTGCCACAAGGACTCCTCGTTGTTTTTGCTTATACATTTAAGAGGACTAGAAAAATGTTTTGTTTCCTCTCTTGGTTGTGGTAAGCCATCTAAATGGAAACAAATTCAAATTTAATATATATTAAAGATATTCTATGTTTAGGATAAAGGTGAAGGATTATGTGACTAAATTTGACTTAGGAGCCATTGATTCAGAAACTATGCCTACAGGAGTGTTTCTTTGTTTTTTTTTTTTTTTTTTTTAATTATATATTCACATCTTAAGTGATTCTCAGCCATTTTCTGCCCTCAGATACAGTGTGTACAAAACTCTCATTAAAAAAACCTGGGCATTGCTCAAGTGTACATGAGCATGTAGACTATACTGTAGTTCTTTGGACATAGTAGCATGAAATTAATGGTTGAGACTCTTGTCATGCTTACTGAAGTTTCAGAGATGCTCAGTTTACCGTACTTTAACAGTTTTCTGTCAGGTTTCTTAAACGTGCATAATAAATGTTAAATTAAGTTACTGAACTTTATTAAGATGTGGGGCAGGGATAAAATAGGTTTTTTTTCCTCTTTGTAGTTGGTAACAGTAACTTGGGCTAAACTTCTTGAGAAACAGAGAAAACATAAACAAAACAGTTATAATAGTTATTTTTCTTTTTCTTTAGGAAACGCACATCATCCACACATTCAAAGAAGACTTTTATGGTGAAATTCTTAGTATAGTCATTATTGGGTACATCAGACCAGAAAAAAACTTTGATTCCTTAGGTACGTATCAAGGCTTCCCTAAAAGTTTCTGTTTATGAAGATTTTTGAGCCTGACATTGATGGTTTATGCAGTTTACTGCCACCCAGAGATTTGCCTTCCTCCTGTGTTCCTTTTCACTTTTGATAATTAAGTAAATCTTCTTTTGGAAGTGGATCATTCAAACCATAAATATGGTCTTCGCTTGCTATGGTAGGTTGAACGCAACAAAAAGGGCTTTACTATTCTGATATTAAAAAAAAATAATAATTAAGGAATATCGAGAAATACAGAAAACAGATTGTGACAGACCCAGACCAGTGGGGTACAGGAGTCTGGTAGAGGGCAAATATACTGGTCACTGGATGAATAGTTTTCTGTTCCCTGAGTGACCAGAGCAGGGGCTGCACTAGATTTATCAGGAACCTGCTAGAACCAGGTAAGGCAGGCAGGCTAATTAGGACACCTGGAGCCAATTAAGAAGAAGCTTCTAGAATCAATTAAGGCAGGCTAATCAGGGCACCTGGGGTTTAAAAAGGAGCTCACTTCAGTTTGTGGTGGGAGTGTGAGGAGCTGGGAGCAAGAGGCGCAAGGAGCTGAGAGTGAGAGGGTGTGCTGCTGGAGGACTGAGGAGCACAAGCGTTATCAGACACCAGGAGGAAGGTCCTGTGGTGAGAATAAGGAAGGTGTTTGGAGGAGGCCACGGGGAAGTAGCCCAGGGAGTTGTAGCTGTCATGCAGCTGTTACAGGAGGCACTATAGACAGCTGCAGTCCACAGGGCCCTGGGCTGGAACCCGGAGTAGAGGGCAGGCCCGGGTTCCCCCCAAACCTCCCAATTGACCTGGACTGTGGGTTCTCCCAGAGGGGAAGGACTCTGGGCTGTTACCCAACCCACATGGTGAATCTGAGGCAAGAAAATCCGCCAGTAAGTGCAGGACTCGCCAAGATAGAGGAGGAACTTTGTCACAAGATATACTTACAAGCTGCGTCACCTTCCACATCTGTTTCCTGGCTGAATTATTCTTTTTTGGGTTACCATGGTGATATCACTCCCAGAACCTTGAATTCTCGCTGAATCTGAGCTGTTGAAGAACAGCTCCTTCACAAAATCTAAATTGATTATTCAAAAGTGGTAGTCCAAACAGAATCCTCATTCTTTGGTCTGGCTCTTCAATACAGAACTTGCCATGGAACCTCCTATGTTATGGGAGTTGCAAATCTGATATATCATCAAGTGGTAGATTCCAACCCTTTGTGTGATTGCTTCTTGTAACAAATGGAGAAGCTTCACATTTCAGTTTTACTCCTCTTCAAAGTGCAGTGGAAGCAATGGTGATATCTCACTTTGGTGGCTTTTCAGCAGGGGCTTTTTACTAATTGTTCCTCCTGTTATCGGTGCTGCACAGTACCCGAAGGAGAAGCCTTGGAAGTAATTATTCTCAACACCCATTAGATGTGTCTTGTGCCAGATTGTGCATAATCTGGACAGGTTTACACATAATAAACACATAGTTTGTCTTTATGAATCAGAAGTTATGGGATTGATACAGAAATGATGGGGTGATATTCTGTTGTTTTTTAGTCCCTTCTGGCCTGGAAAACTATGTTCCTTTTAGTGCAGAAATCCTTAGAGGATCCTAGTTTTGATAATTACATTAAAGACAATAATGCAGCACTGCTTCCAGATGTGCATTGTTTTCAGATTAAGGCTTTACATGTACCAACAAAATGAAATTTTAAAAATGACAGAGGAAAGGATTTTTTTTATTCAGTTTCTTTTAACACACATTTGACTCCAATGCTCAGCAAAGAGAAGTCAAGATCTTTGTTAAAGATTCGTACTCCCATCTGCTCAGTTAAGAGCAGAGACAGCTCTGACCCAACTTCATTGGATCCTCCAAAGAAACTTCTAGGAAAAACCCTCGAAAAACAAGATTTTTATTGTAAGATATTTAAAAAAAAAAAAAAAAAGGGGGGGGGGGGGGAATCACCTTCACGTAGTCCTTTTTCATTATAATGAAGCAAGAAAAGGGCATACCCTGTAAGAAGGAGAAAGTGGTATCTTTAACATACATCCAAATACTTTGAAGTTTTAATTCATGTTCTCGTTAGGGAAAGTTGTAATCTCTCTGCTCCAATGTACGTTAAGGGTGACTGGATGCCTGGCTGGCTAGTCTTTGGCAATCACTTTCTTCTGACAATGTAACTTAATCCTCGCTCAACATCTGCCTCTTGCGATTTCTACCTGGCTGTTTCTCCCTACAGTCTGTATCTTAGCTTCTGTAGAGGGCAACCTACCCTTTTTAAATCTCAAACAGTGGGAATCTCTGACGTTTGGAGGAAAGAAACTTTACTTGCCTATGACTGGTACAGTAAAGCATCAAGTTGCCTTACAGAACTGCTACTTGAAACATTTTTCCTAGTCTTTATAAGTCTTATGCCAGTAAATGCCCTTCTTTTAAAAAAATGTTTTTTTGCATCAATATTTTATTCATGTGCAACTTTAAATGTTTTTGTAATTATGTACATTTTTTCATTGTTAAACAAATCAGTTGGTACTTTCCATTAGCTTACTGGTAAATGCAGTAGCAATACTGGATGCCCACTTAGTAGAATCTGTATATTCCATCTGCTTTGATTAGAAGTGGGATGAGACAATATAAAACTACATAGAAGACCAAGTATTATGTTAATGGAAGCAAAAGTATATCCTGTTTTGGTAAACTTAGGTTCGTTAGTGAATATCTCATTAGCAACATAGTTAATTTAAATCGTTCTGTAAAACTGGTATTTACTGTTTAGTAATACCTTATATTAGTATAACTATGAGAGTTGAGGGAAAATACTTCTCTCAGCTATACTTTATGCACTTATAAGCACTGTGTGTCTCACTGTCTTCCTTTATAGTCAGCGATTTCCCCCCAGCCCCCAAAAGGTGTGAAGGATGCATGCTGAAGGGGAGGAAGAAGCTTTTATTAAAGTGGCTTTAAAGCTGAAACTGGCAGGTGATTTGTGGACAGATGGAGGGTCTGAAAGTACCTTTGGCTCATCTGAAATTGACTAAATTTCAAGTTTGTCCTTTCAAACTTAGTAGCTTTTTAAAATAACCATCAGTGCTTGTTAATATTAATATATTATTTCCTTTGATTAATGCTACTAATCTTACCAGGCCCTCTCAGAAGTCCAGAGAGGCCTGGGCCACTTCCAGCTTTTGAGGTCCCTAGCCATAATAAAAATAAAAAATAACATCACATGAAAACAAAATAAGGCACCAAAAAAAGAGTGAGACATAATTTGAATATTTTTTTATTTAACAAATGCTCTTCTAGTGTTTTTCTGTGCAAATGCATTAATTATTGAGGAAAAAAATCTAGCTTTTGTGCAATGTCACAATTGATATTAAGCATGGTGAGCCCATTCAAACGCTCTTGTCCCATAGTTGAACGGTGATATTACTTTACCTGCTTCAACACGTTGAAGGTGAGTTCACCTGAAGCCACTGATGCAGGCAAACTGACAAAAATAGGCAATGCAATTGTGATATTAGGAAACACCCCAAAGAGTCCAAGTTAGAGTATTTCTTGAAGCAATTTCTTTGGCTTGCAATCCAATTTAAAGTTCATGGAATATATTTGGTTGAGGAAGATGACCTTATCACTGAGATCTTTTGAGATTTCTTTGTTGTACTGTCGCTGAAATGGTTCAGCTGTAAAAAGTAGATCTTCATTACTCTGTTGAGCTGCCAAAGAAACCCAAAAAGGGTACAAATTAGTCGCAGTGACTCAAATTGATGTACAAGACCTGATTGAATAGAGTCAATGATGACAAGGAAGACATTGACCCTATAATGCTGCTTGGCATCGGATTCAGTAGGTAAGTTGCGATTGGTGGAAAACTCAGATGAAATGCCAATATTCTGTGCTACTAATTTGGACTCGTTCAGGATCGCATCCCATTGTTCATTGATAAGACTTTCAATGTTATCCCTCTCAACATCAAGTGTAGCATTGCGTGCTTTAGTTACCAGATTAGTTTGGTGGATCATTGTAAGTAGCTTCATCAACAAAGATGGCATCAGAATATGCATTCAAATTTGTACATGTGCTTCTGAATAGACTGAAGTTCAGTTCGAGCCTGTGCAGTGAGATTGAGAGATTCAAGCTCATTTAAAGCCTTTATCACTGAATTCAAATGCTGCACAACTGGTTGAACACCATCAATCCGTGCAGACCATCTAGTTTTGGACATTCCATGCAGTGAAACAGGAAGATACTGCTTCAGAATTTCCCACCTTTGTGGAGTGCTATTGAGGAGATTGTACATTTGCTGAACAGTTCCAAAGTAAGTAATTGCCTCCCTGCAATTTCTTTTCCAGATTTTCTCGTGAAATTATCAAACAAAATAAACCTTTCTTCAGTTGAAAATTTTGAGCTGTCTACAATCTTAACATATCAAATAACCATAGTAGTCGGTTCCTTGTGAGAACAATCTGGAATGGCATCAACAATGATTTAAAAATACTTGGCATTTCAGATCTCATCAAGAATTGTTGTTTGTACAAATGACCCACATAGCTCAATAAACTTGTTATGTATGCATTTGGAGAGATAACGGACTTGCATGCGCTTTTGACTTTCTTGCGATTCTTGAACACGTTTAACATGCTCTGATAAAAGTGGGTCATATTTGCTGAGGAGCTCATCTATGCCTAGAAAGTTTCTATTTGCACGATCACCAATACGTTGACTGGAACCAAAGAAAGCCTGTCGCCTCTCAGAAAGAAAAAGGATGACATTCAGGATGCACTCAAGAAGTTTTTTCCAGTTATTAGTTTCTGTAGAGAGTTGAGTTGAGTAAATTCTCAACTGAACTTTCAGCTGTTGCTGCCCTACTGGCTGATTTCCATGCGACATAGTTTTCTTTGTGTGTCGTTGAATTCTCATGTGATGGTATTCGGTCATTCAACTTCCTCCAACCTCTGTTGATGCTCCATCCTGATTGATCCGAGAGAACTGATGCATTTGCAGCACTTTTGGTCAAAATGAAGCAGGGTGAACAGTACAGAGATTGTTTTTCCGTACTCCAGCATAACCAGTCTCTTGTGCAGGTCTCACCATTTGGAAGAATTTTTGTCAGCAGACGAGTAGGGAAAGCATGATTATTAGCATCTCGTGGAATGTTACTTGGAATTTCAAAACAACTAATTTGAAGAAAAGATTGCATGTGGGTAGGATTGCTCTTGTCAGTAATTCCAATGTCAGTCAGTGTCAAACCTGTAGTACTCATGAATGGCTCTTGCTGTGTAAGATCTACATCTTTCTGTTGCTGTTGAGTTTCTTAATCGTACACAGGATCTTCTGCTGCATCTGTTACTGTTGGCACATCTCCTTCTTGACTATTGTCCTCATGATTAGGTATTGGCATTGAAATATCACCTGTTGCAGTTGCAGAATTTTCATTATCTGTAGCATTGTTTGTTGGGTAAGGTGTGTTTTCCAGTGGTTTGAGAAACGAAGTTATTGGCTTTGAGCTCTTAGCTGCTGCTTTACTCAGTTGTTTTTGCCATCTCTTGCTTGCACCACTTTCAAATCTCCTCTTCAAAGTGATCTATCTGGTCAATATGTAGCCTATCCATACTTGAAATATTCTGATGTAAATAAGTAGCTTATCTACACTTGAAATCTTCTACTGTAAACGTATACAAATGCTGAAATCATTAATGATCTGGAGGATGGCGTAGACTGCCCCCTCAGCAAGTTTGCAGATGACACTAAACTGGGAGGAGTGGTAGATACGCTGGAGGGTAGGGATAGGATACAGAGGAACCTAGACAAATTAGAGGATTGGGCTAAAAGAAATCTGATGAGGTTCAACAAGGACAAGTGCAGAGTCCTGCACTTAGGACAGAAGAATCCCATGCACTGCTACAGACTAGGGACCGAATGGCTAGGCAGCAGTTCTACAGAAAAGGACCTAGGGGTTACAGTGGACGAGAAGCTGGATATGAGTCAGCAGTTGCCCTTGTTGCCAAGAAGGCTAATGGCATTTTGGGCTATATAAGTAGGGGCATTGTCAGCAGCTCGAGGGACGTGATCATTCCCTGCTATTCGGCATTGGTGAGGCCTCATCTGGAGTACTGTGCCCAGTTTTGGGCCCCACACTACAAGGAGGATGTGGAAAAATTGGAAAGAGTCCAGCGGAGGGCAACAAAAATTAGGGGGCTGGAGAACATGACTTATGAGAAGAGGCTGAGGGAACTGGGATTGTTTAGTCTGCAGAAGAGAAGAATGAGGGGGGATTTGATAGCTGCTTTCAACTACCTGAAAGGGGGTTCCAAAGAGGGTGGATCTAGACTGTTCTCTGTGGTACCAGATGACAGAACAAGGAGTAATGGTCTCAAGTTGCAGTGTGTGTGTGTGGGGGGGGGGAGTTGGATATTAGGAAAAACTTTCACTAGGAGGGTGGTGAAGCACTGGAATGGGTTACCTAGGGAGGTGGTGGAATCTCCTTACCTAGAGATTTTTAAGGTCAGGCTTGGCAAAGCCCTGGCTGGGATGGTTTAGTTGGGGATTGGTCCTGCTTTGAGCAGACGGTTGGACTAGATGACCTCCTGTGGTTCCTTCCAACCCTGATATTCTATGCGTCTATGAAAAGACTTAAAATGAAGGAATACTAATTAAGAACACAAAATGAAACAGTCAGACAGGTTATTATCCTTATCACTGAATCAAAACTCAAGCACGCAAGGTATAGTATAACAGGCTGAGCTGAAGATAAAGGGATGACATATAGAGAGAGAGAGAGAGAGAGAGGAAAAAAACACACAACAAAACACAGAGACATGGATACAGACAGGGATAATGTCAAACAATTTCAAACGTGTGTCCTCATGAAACTCACTGTACAACATCGTCCTCACACATTTTCACCTTGAACCTGGGCCTATAGACTACAAAAGCCTATGATGATGGCCAAGCTACCAAGCTAGGGCTAAACCAACCAGTCACCTCTTTTAGCTACCATAAGAAGATGATAATGAGGAATTCTCACACCTAAATAATTCCTTAGTCAACTTGACGTAAAACTGTAAAGACACTAAAATGTAACAGTTCTCTACCTTTCAACACGCACTTGATCTAGCACCAGCCACTAGTAGTGGTTTGTTTATATAATCAGCTGAACTGGGGGGACACGTTCATCACGGTCTAATCTTGTGCCATCAGATCCGATATATTTTCATTTAATATTTATGAACATTTATAACTCTTACATGACAAAATCTATATCAGTTAACAAAAGAATTTGTTTTTTATCAAATCACATCTATTATTTGCTTAAATTTGCAGCTCTAAGCTGAGAGAGTGTATCACATTTTGGTCCAATAGGGATGCGAATAAAAATAATTTGCTAAACTTATCAAATGCCAAAAAATTAACAAAATTTGAGACCCCCCCCTTTGAGCTTGAGACCCAGGCCAAATAGCCCCCCGATTGGCCCTGAATCTTACATCTACAGTAAGACATAGTTTCAAAAAAAATCTAGTATAAAGAATTCAACACATTTCTAATGAAATATGCAGTAAGTCTATACTTTTCTCTTTCAATTTAGAAAGAGTAGGTTTAAAATTCTAACTAAGAAATGAATGTTTACCACTAGTTGGAAAAACTTAGGTGGGACCATTTTTCATTTGAGAATGCATTTCCACTGAAAATGTTTCATTTTATGAAACTGTGTTCATTTTGTGGAAATTTTTTTTGAGGAAAAAATGGGAGAAGGGAGAGTTCCAACCATGCTGATAACATCCCGTTTCAACATTTTTTGTTTCAGAACTTTCCCAGTTTTTTTCTATTAGAATAAAATAGTCAAAATCAAAATGTTTTGATCTGAAATGGAACTTTTTGGGAACTCTGTCATGGGAAATTATGAAAATTTTGGGTTTTCTGAATAGTAACAAAGCCAAATCTGAAAATCCTTTGTGATATGGGATTTCCATCCTCTGCGCAGCTCTAAAAAGAACATTGTCTCTGAACCTGAGCTGTTCACTGGTAGCAGTGTGGTTTTTGTGGGTCACATGCACTCTCTCAATATTGTATGGTTTAGTATTTCGTCTGAATTTTTAAAAAAATATAAAATGTCAACTTTCCTTTTGCAGATGCACTTATTTCGGCAATTCAAGATGACATTGGAGAGGCTAATAGAAAACTAGACTTACCAGAACATCTGAAACTCAAAGAAGACAACTTCTTCCACATGCCAGAAAGCAAACTAGTAAATGGCCATTAAACAAGGTCATGTGTACACTTATTTTTATTGTTACTCTTGTCTTTGGTCTGCTCTCATTAGTATTCAGCTGTTGTATCTGGTTAGTTAAGTGAAATCTGTGTGTGAACAAAACCCTGTAAAACAGTACAACTGTGTTAGGCTTCTTTGTTTGAACTAATGTATTATTAAATCTGTCATGCAAGGGAGTAGAAAGTAATGTTATTTTCTTCTTAAAAATCAACATTGTGATTCAGTATGTTAAATTGTTCACAGGTCTGATCATATGAAACACAAAACCAAAGTTACTAGTGTCTTTTTTGTCTATTAATGGTGTGTACATACTGGCTACAGACAAAAGACCATGTGAAGGCATTTGTTTGTGATGAGATTAGAGTGGACAGTCATTTCTGCTTTCAGTTGTTTTTATGTTTTCCTAATATCTGGACTTCAGCCGCTAATTTAGAAAATACCAATAGTGATCATGCTACAAGTTTGTCTGTGATGTGGAAAACATCGGTAGCAAGAATTAGCATACTGTAGAGATTATATTTTTGATATATTTTAGTAGGCATATATTACACTTGAAACTGGCATTAATTGAAATTATTTATTATAATTTTATTTGAAGAGATTATCACTAGAGTAAAATAATTGCACTGTCTTCCATTTTAGTGACATGCTCCCTATTTTGAGGGTTGCCTGAATCCTAAAATGGATGCTTCTGTTTATTTAAAACAGTACACACAAATCCCATCATGCCAAATTATGGGTTGACTAATTTAATTTTGGAATAACAGCTCACTAAATTTAAAGTAATTTAAAGACACTAGATTTAGGTTACTAAATTAAATTTTTGTAACTCTGATATTGCAAAGCAGATTCAAAGCAGTCCTTAGTGCAAGAGAGCCTCAAATGATGTGGAGCCACTGTAGCAAGACCTGTGCCCTTGTAGCCCCTAGGATGGGAGAGGGGACCAGAGCAATTGAGTGTTGGCTATTAACAGCTGCTGCAATGGTGCTTTAGGGGCTGTTGCAGCTGGACATAACTGAGAGCAACACTGAGGCTGCTCTTTAGGTTAAGTTGTGGACAAAACCCACCCCAGTTGACTTGAGGACTGGGAAGTTAAGCCATTTTTATGTCCTACCCTTTCCTTGGGTCCTGTACCAAATGCAGCTTGCATAGCTCCAATGATGATGAAGCACACTGTCAATTGCTATGTGAATAAGAAACCAAAGCCGCTTTTGGGACACTATATGTGAAGAGGATAAATTCAAAGTATAAACATTTCAGTAAAAAGTAAATACTTAATTATGGTTTCTCTTGCCATACAAGACATAAACATGCAGACAAATGCCATATTATCTAAACTGTGGTTTGTACTCCAAGCAGATTCTATAAAAATGGGGCTCCGTATTTCTAGTCTGATTCCAGATCAAATCTGCTTCTCTTACAAGTATGTGATTTTTGTCCCTTCTAACTACTAGCCATGCAAATTCATTCTGGAGTCTCAACCTGGGGGGTTTGCATTCCTGATCCTGGGCTGCTCCTTAGGCCTAGAATGATGCTTCACATACGTTAGTGTGCTGTAATATACAATTGTCACCGAGCACTGCCCTGTGCACTGCAGTGTTGTCCAGAATCTCTGCAGTGCTGTTCCTGCTTTGACACACCCCACCCCCAGCATGCCTTTCATTTCAGGGCTTATGGGGTCCTCAGAAGTCAGACTTAGAGCTGTCTTCCTCAGTTCCTGTGATGTGAATCCTTACTTCTCCGAATACAGGCTTCTGGGTTCCCTTTTTGCTACTCTGGCTCTCTGACGCAGTGTAAAGAGACCAGAGCAGTTGTGAGGATCTTGCCATGTGAATGAAGTTGAATTCTTTGATTTGCATATCACCAATTAAAGATATTGCAACTGGAACTTAACAGTCCTGTTGATATGAAAGAGAGAAAAGAATCTAAATCAGTTGAGGAAGAGCAAATAGTACTTGAGCTGGTCCTAGCTATCTTTTCAGAGTGCACACTGAAAATTCTTGACATAACTGCTGTCTGAAACTTTCCAAAGAAGTTTCAGAATTTCTCATTTGTCTTCTGTTCAAAGTTGGGAGAAAACTCAATCATATGCGGTAGAAAATACTGTTTAAAAAGAATGGTTAATGTGAATGGCATTTTACTATATGACTCAGTGTAAGATGTCTTTTTACACTCTGCACAACAATTCAGACTTGTAAGTCGGAAGGAAGGGTAACTGCTAGGGATAAATTTTAATTCAAATGAAGGAGTGAAGGGAGGATTTTCTTCTTGCATGAAGATGTCCAGTTAATTCTGATATTTCACATTTCCCCCTTTCTCTATTGAGGGAACAAAGTAGCAGTTATATATACTATTAAGAAAAAGGGGCCGTATTGAAAAGTAAATCTGTTAATTTAGGGTTTTAAAACTAAACTATTGTGGCATTTATAAACTTTTTGCCAGTGATTTTATGTGTCAGCTGAGGAATTGTTTACCATTTTAGGAAACAAAGGTGCCTTAAGACATTTGAGTACAATTGTTCATAATCAGTAATGAACACTAATGTTCAAGAGTCATTTCACAATGTATAACCATTGCACTGAGCAGAGAGAACTTGAACTGCTAATCATATAAGACAACTGAAAGTGAGACAGAAGTATAGTTATAGTGAGCTGACTTATATAGAGTAGTGTCTTGAAGTTTGGTGTATGAGAGCAAAAATGTGTCTCAAAGTATCTCTCTGCCCTTGTGTTTTGTTATGTACTTGCTGGATATCAGTTATTTAAGTTTGATACAACTTAGTACAACAGAAGCTTTATGAACAGTTATATTTTTGTACTATATACTAATGTAAAAATACAAATCTTGTATTTGCTTATTCTGCTGTTACAACATCTGAGCTAACTTAAAAAAAAAAAAAAAAAAAAAACTGTAGCCGGGTAACAGTTATTCCTGTTTGTCTCATGTTTTCAGGTGAAAAGTCTTGCTTGGTATAAATAATTTTTACATATTGGTTGGCATGTTCTGAAAACATGGTCAACTGTTCACTATTTCTGCTGCTTGTTTACTTGCCTTTCTTTCAGTTTTTACATTGAAAACTTTGTATCACTTTCAATTTCCCAGTGCTGCAGTAGTTGGGTTACAAACATTGCAAGGGAAATGGCTTTTTAAAAATGTTTGTTAGAATTTTAAAAGAACCATCAAAATACTTTTTCTCACAGTTTACATTTTGGGCCAAATATGAGTTAGTGTCTTTTTGAAATCTACTGCTATCTTTGAATAAACGTATGTCTAGTCTAGGGACCAGTCAATATACATTTTTTTTCAAAAGGAAAAAAACTGAACAGTAGCTTTTAGGTAGGATAAAATTGGTATTGTTCGTTTAGTGCGAAATGTGTACATTTTTAGCAGATGTTGAAAACGTTGAATAAAGTGCAATAACTTTGCTTGATTCTTTCTGCCTGACTTAAGTTAGTAACTAACAATTGTTAATGTTCAACATTGAGAACCACTGGTTACTAGTAATTTCTAGTATGGATATATATATATGTGTGTGTGTGTGTGTGTGTGTATGTAATATATATATATATATATATATATATATATATATAATCAACTAGTTAAAGTTGGGTTTTGTATTACTTCAGTTGACTCCTTTTGCGGACAGCAGACTTCACTCTTTCTTGTCATGAAAGTGCCCTACCTGCTTTTTGTGTTGAGGGCAATGAGATTGTACAAAAAGAAGAAAAATCCTGTTCACACTGCTTAAAAGTGAGGTTGTACATATGGAGATTGGTACAGCTACCATGTGTCTGAGCTTTGGAATCTTGCACCAAAAGGTTTATTAAAATTCCATGCTGTTTTCTAAGAGTCCCTGCAGACTCCACAACAACATGTGAAGTCACCTTTTATTAGCAAGTCTTCCTACTATTTGGCAAATTATATATCTTCACCTTCTACCCATCCCTATCATCCTAAATTCTTAGGACTAGGTTTTATTTATTCACAGAATTTCTACTGTCTAGGATTTATTGCCATGTTGTGTAACTAACACTGTACTCACCTGAAGCTACTATTACTTCCTGGGTAGTATTTCCACAAGAGTAGATTTTTAATGAAAACCTAGTAAAAATTCACTTGGTCAAATCTTACTCTTTTTCACATTGATGTAAATCAAAATTGATTTTTCCTGTTTCTTTTTTAAATGGAAGACAACTATGGCTCTTTCACTAGTGAAAACTTAATTACAACATTTTTTCTCCAGATTGCTAGATAATATCAACAGACTTAGTCCTTTATTATAATTATTTTTTTAAAATCATTGCCTACTACAATAGTACCCTGATCACTCATCTAGGGACTGTAGGTTCTATTGATAGATAGATATGTAGAGAGAGCCCTTTTAAAACCAGAGACTATCCTTGGCTTTCAGTGATGCTTTTTAGTGTCCGCCACATTTACCATCTAGTTTTGATTTTTTTTTAAAATAACGTTCAAAGGAGTTAATCTGATCATTTAGAACTAATAAAACAAACCTGGCTGTGGTGATCAGCATCCTGTTGCAAAACACCCCCCTCACCCCACTACAAAACTTCCTCCCCCTCAAGTTCCTGTTGATACCATTTATTAAGTATTCACCCCTTACAATCAATTCCCTCCTGAACAAAACCAGTCCCCCTCCACAAAATCAATTATCTCCCACCTTGTAAAACATAATTAATTTCTTCCATCTCACCCAACACAAAATTAATATCTTCTTCCAGGAGCTCTTAGAACTCAGCCTTCTCCTCACAGCAGCCTGTCCCACCTCTTTCATCCAAAAGCACTGCTCTTGTGGAAACAGGGAAGGCGCTTCTTGCTGCTTCTCTGCTAGCCAGGCCTGGCCTGCTCTGCTTCTGCAGCTCCAGGCTCATAGTATCGGTAAGCAGCTCTTCATGCTTCTTTTTATGCCTTCTTTCCTGCCTTGCAGCAGCTGGAGGAATGGATCTCCATGGCAGTCAAGAGATACAGATTAAAAATTTTGGTAGCCAAAGAGCCATAGGTGGCAAGTCAAGCTGGATGCAGAAGGGCAAAAGCCAAACACTAGGCAGGTCTGTAACCTAAGCACAATGTAGAAGTTAAGGCCTAGATTTTTTCAGAGGTATTTAGGTGCCTAATTCCAGTGGGGTATATTTAGGCACCTAAAGATTAGGCAGATCTGTACCTCCAATGGGAGTTAGGTGCCTAAATACCTTTGAGGATCTGACCCTCAATCTCTACATTGTGCTTACAGTGCAGACTCTTTTTATTAGGTGCCTAAATATATCCCATTGGAGTTAGGTGCTTAAATAAATATCTTTTGAGGATTGGGGGATAAGTGACTTGCCCAAAGCCACAGAAACAGTGCAAACTAGAACTGAGAGTAGATCTCAAAGGTTTCTGGCTCTCAGAGGTGTACTAAAACCACTGTGATTTTTATATCTGGTCCATTAGGTAGGACCACATTTTTGAATAGTGAGTTGCACATTTTTAGTTTAAAACAAATCCCTTTTTAAGTTACAGGAGTTCAAAAAGGAATATTGTGCAAGACATTTCCATTAGTTTGTCATGTGGGTAGTTTTGGACACACCAGCCTTTCTTCATGCTGAAACTGAAAGCCCATAGGCTGCTCAGTTCATACATATTTTTACAGCAATTTTAAGCATATTAGGAACAGCTTAAAATAAGCCTTTGAAATTTGATAAGGGCAGTTTCAGGTTAAAGTATATTCTTACAGCCAATTTATACAAACCACTACTAAAATAAGGGTATTGTTAAATGAGAGGTGTGAACAGGAAACTGTTTGAATAGTTTTTCTCGGTATGGCCTTTCAAATATGTTTTCACTGTTTTGCTTATTCTAGCCTTTGTTTTGTTTTGAGAACTTTTACCAAGAATGAGCTTTTACTTAAAGTGATTTGTCAAATCTTTATTTTCAAAGTACCTTATTGTTACATCTTTTCCTATAATTATAGGCCATTGATTTATGTTGGGCAATATGTTAAAGGGTTTTTAACCCTTCCCCTGGTCTGCAAGTAAGGGTTTGAAAATTTGGCCTTCAGCCCTTTTCAGTACAAAGCAGGGGACAATAGATACATAGACAACAGCCCACTTTTTTGTATTACAAATTCAGATGTGTAATTAATCAGCATGTGCATCTCCAACACCCCACTTTGACAATGAGGATTTAAATAATTAGAACCCAGTCCAAGATTGCCGTTGACTTCAGTGGGCATTGGATTGGGTTTTGTGGAGGTGGGAAATGGTGGAAGTGGGAAAGAAACCTGAATTAATGATTTTTTCCCCTTTAATAAAGTGAATGGGCTGTTGATTTGACAATCCTAACTTCAGCCAGAATTTAATATACTACCTAAACCAAACTTTTAACTCTGTTTGCTAGGCATAACCTGTAGGTGATAGTACTTATGTAAAGTGTTCCATAGCATATTTTACATGGAGTCTATATAGCATCAGCATGCATAAATAGGGGAAAGGCAGGTGTTCCCTATTCTGAGTTAGGTGGGTACATTTCACTTGGCTCTAAATTCCTCCTGTAGGGGAGATCCATGGTAATTGTAATCCATTGGGACTACACACCTAGTGGCCCAGAGAAGATTTAAAATACGTGCGCGCACCCTGAAGGAGCGAAATGGGCTTTATAGAGGCGTTTCTTTAACCAGCCAATAAATGACAGTAGTAAGAATATTGGAAATATACTGAAAGTCAGCTTCCTTCAGGTCATCACAAGTATTTCTAAAGCTCTCCTATCAGTGTTAACCAAAAATACTCTAAGTGTATACACCAATTGTGTATTGTAAGGAGACAAGGACTATTAAATGCATTATCTAGGTTTTTATATAGCATCCCTTACCATAGTATCCGAGTTCCTCACAAACATTAATGAATTAACAATCCCACGCGATACAGAAATATTATTAGCTCTGATTTACAGCTGGGGAGCTGAGACTGAGAAAGTAAGTGATTTACCCACAGTCACATAGGAACTTTGTAGCAGAGTGCAGCATTGAACGCAGGTCTCCTAAGGCCTAGTCCACAGTTTTAGCCAAAAGACCATATTACTAGTGAATAACAACCTTCTTGGCATGCTTTTGTACAAAGATTCAGTTTATTCTTTCACAACAAAGGAACCAGGTTTAGCATCTTCTCATATAATGCAATAAATTATACAATCTATAATGATAAAAAAAAATCATTGTCTTCCATTGTTTCATTTTACGTTTTTCAGTGCAGTGTTGATTACTCCCTTTCCTATTATCTTAACATCCAAAGTCATTTGTGATAGATATGAAAAGTAGGATTAATAAATCTTTTGTTTCATGTCTGTTCTGTGACAATTCTCTGTAATCTCGAGATTTTTCCACATACATATTTATAGACTAAGCACTCCTTTGTACTACGTCCAAATAAGTCTGTACAAAATGAAATATTGCTTAAAATGCATACTCACTAAGATAAAAATGAAACACGAGTTAGTCATATAAAATATTTCAGATATATTTTCTTTTTTTTTTTCATTCAAGCCATGGCTACAGCAATACATTCTACTTGGAATAGGGTCAGAGTGACCTCAAATTTTATCTAAAACTGAATGTCAGAGATATTAAATCTTTGAGGAAATGCACTTAAAGGTTATAGAAATGTGTCAGATTTTGGGGCTTACCAGTGCTTTGGATAATACTATGAAAGGAAAAGAGAGTAAAATATGCAAAATCACATTATAAGTTACAGTACAAACTTTAATCACACAGAAATAAACAATTAAGTGACATCCTATCCCAGGGACATCTATCATGTAGATACATATGCCTGTCTTGTTTATATCAGTATATTTTTAAAAGGGATTGGCAAGTGCTAGTTGGATACGTGTGTGTGTTTTATATACCTATGCACTTACAGATACATACTGGAAAATATTTTATTTCCACACATGAGTATACAGAAAAAGAATCTTTTAGCCAACCCATTTCTTGAGTACTGCTTCTTGAAAGACCCATCAAGGATTTATAAAATGTTTTGGAAACAAAAGTTTAGAAACAACTCTGCTTTCACAGTATGTATAGCTAAAATCCCTTTCTCTTAGAATTACCACAAACATAAATTTCTGCTTGAACCCAGTCATGCAGAGAAAAAAATATTTTATATCCCCTATAACCTAACTAAATTGATTTAATGTAATGAGAAAGGCAGTAAAGAGGAAAAATACACAAATTAATAAAAAATTATCTAAATGCATAACTTTCATCATCATATTCCAGTTCATCTTCCTCCTCATCCTCCAGAAGTCCATATTTAAATTTACGATAGACTGTGCCATCCTGGCTCATATATACAATATCATCATCATCATCTTCTTCGTCATCTTTATCCCAGTCTTTATACTCAATCACTTGATCATCTTGATAGCTGGT